AAACTGACTAAAATGTACATGTTGTATTTGAGTTTACGCCCCTTGTCATGTCAAGACGTTATGCGCTCTGTCAAAAAATCACCTTAATGTCGTATTATGGCCGAAATTGACAGAATTGAAGTTGAAATAAGCGTTTGACATAATACCAGGGACCGAAGTAAGACAAGAAATGGTGTCGATCGACGTCTATAGAGCAAGAATTGGACTTTTCACTCAACCAAAAGGCACCCGGCAAGTAACACTTGACAAACATGGCGAGTATTCACCGACTGTCGTTGGGTCTGATATACATTTCAGATTCGTTGTATGCACAGCTGTGTTTATCTTGCATATTGGTTTTAGCTATGCTGTTTTGAACGCATGTGAAAATGTTGATATTTATTCATATTTACCAAAAGAGCATGTTTGTGACCTTGTTTTCACCAGTGACGTCACATCATTCAAAACTGAATGGCCAGCTTGGCCATCTCACTCTTCACGTGCTCCAGTCGCTTGCCTTTTAGGTGGTAATCCACTGCCCGCTGAGGTAATAACACATAGAAACGACATCGAACTTAATCCCGGACCACCTACCTTAGCAGAAGTCAAAGATACCATTTTGAAGGAAATCCAGTGCGTGAAATGTGATCTCGGAAGTCAGATAACCACACTATCAAATGAGGTTCGAGATCTGAGCGCCAGATTTCATAACATTGAATCAAAGATGACCAACTCCAGAGTGACATGGAAACTGTACAACACAACCAGAGCATAATGTACGAGGACGTTGGTTTGATCTCCGGTAAGATGGAAAACGTGGAAGAGAAACTAGCACAGTTCGACGGCGAGATCGACAAGCTAGAGGCATTTAGCAGGCGTGACAACGTTATCCTCTATAACGTGACAGAGGAAACAGGGGAGACGCACACTGATTGCAAGGTCAAGGTACTAGACATCTTGAACAGCAATGTTCAGACCAAGACCTGGGTTAGTGATGACGTCATCCGTGCACATCGACTCGGCGCCCAACGTGAGGATACCTCTAAACCAAGACCGCTAATTGCTAAATTACGGCTGTCTGATGACAAAATTGAAGTATTGAAAGCTCGACCAACACTCAAGAATATCGGTTATGGAGTCTCAAGTGACTTAACTATCCGCCAACGCGAACAACTTAAAGCCGTGAAAGATAGAGGACTGATTGGATATTTTAAAAATGGTAAGCTGTTACTAAACCACGAAATGATGAACATAACCATGACACACACAAATCTGAGAGCTCCAAACGACAATTGAGGAGTACCTCTAAGCGTGGTGGCTACCATAAGAGATAACAATCCGGCCAGGGCCGGTATTCGACACAGAATGGAAATAACACCGGTAACGATAAACATTTGTCATTGTTGTCCTGGAACATTTGTGGCCTTCGTAAAATGTTTGATGATTGTGACTTTATTGCACACCTCCAATCATTTGATATTGTGTGTCTCTTGGAGACATTTATATCAGATTTCCCAGACTTAAACTGGTTACCTGGTTACCAAATGTACTTTGCCCCAGCAGTTAAAACATCATTGTCAGGTAGATGTTCTGGTGGTGTGTGTCTCTGCGTTAGGCAAGATGTTGTGAACATGTGCATTCACCTTAGCACCGACATAGAAAATTTCAAATGTTTAAAATTTCCAAAATCTGTGTTTAATTTGAAATGTGATTTAATGTTGTTGTGTACATATGTCCCTCCGGCAGGTTCAACATTTTACAAAGGGAGAACTGATTCAGGTTGCCTTATTGATAAAGTGGAAGCTTTTATATTGGAGCATTGGTCTGATTTCACTTCTTCACATGTGCTACTATGTGGTGATTTTAATGCCCGCACAGGCAACGAAAATAATCCCATTTCTGAGGAAAGTGATGACTTTGGACATGATGATGTATACATTGATGTTGCCAATGCCCCTGTTGAACAACGTGTATCGCACGATGGTACTATCAATAGATATTGTATCTATGCTTTGTACTTCGTATGTTTATACTAAATAGGAGAGTTTATGGTGATAGTGCAGGCGAGTTTACTTTTGTAGGAGATACTGGTTCTAGTGTTGTTGATTATTTTATTGCATCTGCTGATTGTTTCCAGTATGTAGATATGTTAAATGTTGATGATCGATCAGATTCAGACCATCTCCCTCTTGAGTTATCCTGCAGGTTTCCTTGTAGCAATCGTGCCATACATAATTTAGACCGTGAGGATGATGTCTCTATGAACAGTACATTTTCATGGAACGAATCGAAAAAAAGCATTTTTATCACAGCACTTAGATGGTCCTTGCATATTCATGAAAATTCCTTGATGGATAAAATCGAAGCTAATGTAGAGGAGGGGATTACATATTTGGTACAGTATGTTCCAGACTCGGCGTCCTGTATGAGGAAACAGATCAAATATGGTCAACATAAACACGATAAACCAAAGTTGAATATAGCACGTAGGGCAGCAAGATCTGAATCAAGGAAGGCTCTCAGAAGGTATAGGTGTTGTCGCAGTGAATACAACCGACAACGCTACTGCAAACTGAGAAATGTGTATAAACACTTTTGTAGAAAGTTCAAATATGATCTTAAATTGTCACGGCTAATCCGACTAAACAGCACTTTACACAGTCCGAAATTATTTTGGAATACTATACGTTCTCTTCAGAGACATCCTACGCCCAAAGGATCTATATCCCAAACAGAATGGTTACATCATTTCAAGAAGTTATTCTCAAAAGATGATTCGATATATTTGGTAGACAATGAGTGCTTTGAACGTGATGATGATGGCGTCAGTGATATTCTTAGTGATGTTGACATGCTTCTGTTGGAATCGCCTATCACGGAAACGGAAATATTTAATGCTATATCTCACCTTAAAACAGGTAAATCTGCTGGGACTGATTGTGTTATAGCTGAAATGCTCAAGTACTCACTGCCTGATACTATGCCTTTTCTGGGTAAATGTTTCAATCGGATTTTTGATACAGGTATTTTTCCTTCTATCTGGTCAAAATCTATTATTATTCCGTTATGCAAGAATGGAAACGTAAACAATCCTGACAATTATCGGGGTATATCTCTCACGAGTATCCTTAGTAAAGCATTTACATCTATCATCAATAATAGATTAACACAGTGGTCAAATATGAGAGATTTGATCCCTGAAACACAAGCGGGATTTAGAAAGGACTATTCGACTTTTGACCACATATTTACTTTGTATGCAGTCATTGAGAAATATTTATCGTACAGGAAACGTAAGTTGTATGTGGCCTTTGTTGATTTTAAAAAGGCATTTGATTCTGTAAATAGAGCTTATTTGTGGAGGTGTTTGAAAAATAAGGGTTTAGGAGGGAAATGCTTGTCATGATTAAATCAATGTATGCAAATGTAAAATCATGTGTTCGCTGTGGTGATATTAAGAGTGACTTTTTTGATTGTCCGATAGGTTTACGTCAATGATGTGTTTTAAGTCCTATACTTTTCTCATTTTTTATAAATGAGTTATATGTTGATGTCCCCTGATGTAATAAAACTTTTCATGCTACTTTTTACAGATGATGTGATTTTGATGTCTAGTACTATTATAGGTCTACAGAAGCAGCTTAACATACTTTCGGAATATTCAGATAAATGGAAACTTAGTGTTAATCTTGAATAAACAAATATTGTTATATTTCGTAGAGGTGGTCGAGTGGCCACAAGAGAGAAATGTTTTTTTAAAGGTACATGTATTAATGTTGTGCATGAATACAAATACCTTGGCATATTGTTTACCCATACACTGAATCTGAATAAAGCAGTAATTAATCTCACAAACAGAGCAAAGAAAGCTCTGTTACAAGTCCACTTTGTTATGTCTAAGCTCGGAGTTATTTCACCAAAAATGTATTTTAAATTATTTGATTCTCAAATACAACCTATTTTACTATACGGGTCTGAGATATGGGGTTGTAAAGAGTTCTATACAATTGAAAAGGTTCATCTCCTCGCTTGTAAAAAGTTTTTGAATGTTGGTATGTCAACACCAAGTAATATGGTTTATGGAGAATGCGGGAGATTCCCATTGTACATTGGATCTTACACTCGTTGTTTGAAGTATTGGTGTAAAATAATAATAATGCCTGAACACCGTTTACCCAAGAAAGCCTACAACATGCTCGTACACCTCGACAATCTTGGAAAGAACACATGGGCTTCTTGTATTCGTACATTGCTTTTTACATATGGCTTTGGTTTCATTTGGCTGTCCCAGACAATTGGTAATGCAAATGCTTTCATTAAGTACTTTCGCATGCGTGCCATTGACATGTTTCATCAGAAATGGCATTCAGATATTTATGAAAGTTCAAGATATGATACTTATCGCCAATTCAAGTCATTGCTTGAACCAGAATCCTATTTATCAAATTTACGGTACAGGAATTCTCGTAACACACTTATTTGTTTTAGACTTGGCCTGAATGATCTAAAAATTAACACAGGGAGATTTTCATCTATTGAGAAATCGTTACGATTATGCCCATTTTGTGACATTGTTGTCGAAGATGAATACCATTTCATGTTTATTTGCCCTACATACGAAAATCTAAGAGACAAGTACTTACCGCAGTGGTCTCTATCTCAGTTTAATGCTAAAAGATTGTCTTCATTACTGTCTTGCAAGGATCTTATAACACAACATCAACTGGCTTTGTACATACATAATGCTTTTTTGTTACGAAGTGAATTGTTACCTTGACTTTGTATTTTATAAAATATGTTATGTAACTCCGTTGTATATGGGCCTGTGGCCTTTCATACAATAAAGAATTGAATTGAATTGAATTGAGTTTGAGGTGAGAAATATACATAGTGAAACTTTTATCTTGAGAAATATTTAAACAGTATCTAAATGAAGGGACTCGAAAGCAAATCTATATAGACTAGAAAGTGGATACATAATTAGATTCTTTGCATATTGTATACGTGGTCACATCTTTCAGCTGCCCTGCAAATCCACCTGGTGCCATCAGGAAGTGTCCTCAACGTATTCCTTGGTCAGGTGGTCAGTGTCGTGTGTATGGTCGACTCCTGCAACTCTTCGGTCACGTCGTTCAGATGGACACACAACGGACGTTCCTACAGTCCCTTCATTGGACAAACCTTCATAAAAACAGTAACAGACAAGTCTGACTCTGGCACTTTAGAATGCAGAGTAGGGAATGTGCGTGCCTCTACTCAAATCAGTGTTCTGTGTAAGTCATTTTGAATCTACGGAAAAGGAATACTAGGGTTGCAATTTATGCCAATACAAATGAAAATCTTTAGTAGCTCATTTTATGAATTATGAAAGTATATTTCTGTGACAAATGAATTTCGTGTTTTCTCTTATAATGTATAGGCATTTAACATATACTTTATTGAATGCGAGAGCTTATTCCTGTCCCGTATATATTTACATCGGTAGTCGTTGGGTACGGTAGTGTAGAACGTGTGTATGTCAATTTTCAATCCTTATGAAATTAATAATTCTTGTATTTGTAATTGCACGGAAAACATCACTAATCAGTGGATTGATCATTGATATCCCCAGACCCGCCAGTGGTACATCTGGAGCCAAGGAGTGACACCCTGGATGTCAGGGTCGGTGAAGACCTCCGTGTAGTCTGTGTAGTAGAGAAGGCCAAACCTAGTGTCAACACATATCAGTGGTCTCACAACGGACAAACAAGTACTGGGCGAACATTCCTCAAACGTAGCATAACCCTTTCTGACCGAGGGAAACTGACCTGTACTGCTGATAATGGACACATGATGACACCCGGACGAGCAGTCACTCATGTTAACGTTCAATGTGAGCTACATCATTAACCTATTATCATAAGTTTCTTTCTGGAATAATGAGGACATTCTTATGCCCTGTTTCAAACAATTGGAGCCCAGCGTAGAGGTTTTCATTGGCAAACACGGTGGAGCCGTAAATGCTGCTTGAGTCGTGTACGACCACAACCACTCTTTCACCTCCTACACATGATGTTTCATAAGGACAATGTTAGTTATGGACAAGCGTTAATGAACCATGACTTATCACGTCTAATGCTGGAAAAATGTCCTGCTCTCCAAATTGGGGAGGGAACATAATTGATAATGATAAAGGTATTTTGTGGTGCATTTATGTACATGCTATTTAATGTTTTACTTGTGGGGGTGGGGGGAGGCATTTCATGGAGGCGGAGGTGGATTGCGATACAGTAGTGATGGTTGCGTGGTGGTGTTTTGTGGAAGAAGGTTTGATACAGTGGTGATATTGGCGTGATATGTCGTGGAGATGGGTTTGAGAAATTAGTGATGCGGGGGTTGGGGTTGTTGGGGGGGGGGGGGGGGGGGGGGCTGTTGTAGAAGAAGGTTTAACACAGTAGTGATGCTGACGTGATATGTCGTGGAGAAGGGTTTCATAAATTAGTTATGTTGGGTGGTGTTTCATTGACTTGGAGGTGAGACATATACAAAGTGAAAATTTTATCTCGAGAAATAATTTAACAATATCTAAATGAATGTAATGGGATTCGATAGCAATTTTATATAGACTAATAAGTACATGATGTATTTGAATAAAGAAGTGCATACATAATTCGAATGTTTGTATATTGTATACGTGGTCAAATCTTTCAGCCGCCCTGCAAATCCACCTGGAGCCAAGAGGAAGTGTCCTTAACGTCCTCCTTGGTCAAGTGCTCAGTGTCGTGTGTATGGTCGACTCCTTCAACTCTCCGGTCACGTCGTTCAGCTGGACACACAACGGAGGTTCCTACACTGGACGAACCTTCAGTAAAACAGCTGCAAAGTTTGACTCTGGCACTTTAGAATGCAGAGCAGGGAATGTGCGCGCCTCTACTCAAATCAGTGTTCTGTGTAAGTAATTTACGATTTTGAATCTATGGAAAAGGGAGGGTGGCAATGTATGCCAGTTCAAATGTAATCCTTTAGTAGCTCATTTTATTAGTTATGAAAGTATATTTCTATGACAAACGTAACAAAAGCGTCATTGGAATTTCGTGTTTTCTCTTCAGTAGAAGAATAATGTACGTACATTTAACATATTCTTTATTTACTACGGGAGTTTATACCTGTCCCGTCTGTACATGTCATTGCATTGAATTATGTCACTAATCTGAGGATTAATAATTGATATTTCCAGACCCGCCAGTGGTACATCTAGAACCAAGCAATGACACCATTGATGTCATTGTCGGTGAAGACCTCCGTGTAAAGTGTGTGGTAGATGATGCCAACCCTAGTGTCCACACATTCCGGTGGTCTCACAATGGACAAACAAGTACTGGGTCGACATTCCTCAAAAGTAACATAACCCATTCTGACGGAGGGAAACTGACCTGTGAAGCTGATAATGGACACATGATGACACCCGGACGAGCAGTTGCATATGTAAACGTTCAATGTGAGCTACATCATTAACCTATTATCATAAGTTTCTTTCTGTAATATTGAGGGACTTTCTTACACCCAGCTACAAACAATTGGAGTCCATCCTAGATGACTTAATTGGCAAACACGGTGAAGCCTCATCTGCTATTTGTGTCGTGTACGACCCCAACCACTCTGTCACCTCCTATACATGTTTTATAATGACAATATAAGTTATGGAGTGAGTGAGTTGGTTTTACGCCGCTTTTAGCAACATTCCAGCAATATCACGTCGGGGGACACCAGAAATGGGCTTCACATATTGTACCCATGTTGGGAATCGAACCCGGGTCTTCGGCGTGACGAGCGAACGCTTTAACGACTTGGTTACCCGACCGCCCCTAGTTATGGACAAGCGTTTATAAAGCGTCTAATGTTGGGAATATGTCCTGCTTTGTAAACTGTGCAGGGAACACAATTGATAATAAAGGTCATTGTGGGTCCATGTTTGTACATTTTTGTCACAGTGCAAGTTTCGTCGGCGATCTTGAGTGATGACACTGAAAACAAGAATCAAGTGGCTGCCATTGTTACTGGAACTGTTGGCATGGTTACCATTATCATCCTCATCGTCGTCATTATACACCTGAGGAGGAGTTTGCATGCTGCAAAACGTAGGTGCATCTGTGTTTTCACTGAAGTGAGTGAGTGAGTGTGGTTTTACGCCGCGTTAGCAATTTTCCAGCAATATCACGGCGGGGGACACCAGAAATGGGCTTCACACATTGTACCAATGTCGGAAATCGAACCCGGGTCTTCCGCGTGACGAGCGAACACTTTAACCACAAGGCTACCTGGCTGACCCGTTTAATTTAAGAGCTTCAAGGACATGTGCTATATACAATAATACACAACGTCCATTATGTTGTGCACATATATCTAATGATTGTTATTTCTTTTGACTGAAAATATTGTTTGAAGAGCTATATTTTGAAACTGGTATGCTTTCTCATTTGTAGTTGGGCACAAACCGGATGAAAGGCCAAACAGGTAGTTGTTTTTTTCATTGCAGTTATCAAGCAATATATATATAACGTTTAATCATTATTCCAACATGCTTCTCTAATACTTCTCTAATTGGTCAAAGGCATTTCTGTAGTACTATCACATCCACGTGTATATTTGGTGAAGCAGGTTCTGTAAACATGAAGAGTATATATATATATATATATATATATATAACACGTTTATTCATTATTCTAACATGCTTCTCTAACGGATCAAATGCATTTCTGTAGTACTGTCACATCCACGTCTAATGATGTTTAAAGTTGAATATTATAACCTGGTAGGAAATATGGAAAGATTATGTCAACCATCTCGCCCGCAGCATGCTTATCCCAAACATGTATTCCAACACTGTGTCACACGATTGTCCAAGGCGGGCGTTGGTGGTGCCCGATGAATTATGTATGTGTCGGGGGACACAGAACGTCGTCTTTACAGTCATGAAAGAAGTTGTTATCCATAAAAGGTGTTTCCTTTGTCATCCGTCAACTATCAAAGAATTCATCATAGCTTGTATTTACAAATAACCCATTGTTTTGGTAGTAAACCTATGACATGTTAATTCCTAAAGAAACTGGAGAGCTTTTGGCTTTTTGCACTTAAAAGTATGATAAACAGGACCATGATAACTGTTATGCTTGTCTAACAAAATCTGATTGTGCATCTATACTAGGACTGAACAAGCGAATAGGGCAAGCCGCCAACAGAATTACGAGCCGATGGAGACGTCAAGTGAAGGTATGAACACAAATATTAAACCAAAACAGATATTATGTTGACATGCCAAGTGAACTGAGAACCTTGTGTGTGTGTGTGTGTGTGTGTGTGTGTGTGTGTGTGTGTGTGTGTGTGTGTGTGTGTGTGTGTGTGTGTGTGTGTGTGTGTGTGTGTGTGTGTGTGTGTGTGTGTGTCTCACAATAAATGAGCTTCACACAGTTTACCAATGTTGGGCATCACACCAGGGCCTCCGTCGTGACGAGCGGACGGATTACGTCCAGTATAGGCTACCGCCCCACCCCACTGACTGAGACTAAAGCCCCATGTTAACCTAGAGTGATACTGTAACACCACCCAACTGACTAAGACTAAAGCCCCATGTTAACCTGGAGTATTATTGTAACAACACCCCACTGACTGAGACTAAAGCCCTATGTCAACCTGGAGTGTTATTGTAACACCACCACTCTGACTAAGACTAAAGCCCCATGTTAACCTGGAGTATTATTGTAACAACACCCCACTGACTGAGACTAAAGCCCTATGTTAACCTGGAGTGTTATTGTAACACCACCACCCTGACTGAGACTAAAGCCCCATGTTAAACTGGAGTGTTATTGTAACACCACCACCCTGACTGAGACTAAAGCCCTATGTTAACCTGGAGTGTTATTGTAACACCACCCCTCTGACTGAGACTAAAGCCCAATGTTAACCTGGAGTGTTCTTGTAACATCACCCCACTGACTAAGACTAAAGCCCCATGTTAACTTCGAGTGTTATTCTAACACCACCCCACTGACTAAGATTAAAGCCCCATGTTAAACTGGAGTGTTATTGTAACACCACCCAACTAACTAAGACTAAAGCCCCATGTTAACATGGAGTGTTAGTGTAACACCACCCCACTGACTGAGACTAAAGCCCCATGTTAAACTGGAGTGTTATTGTAACACCACCCAACTAACTAAGACTAAAGCCCCATGTTAACATGGAGTGTTAGTGTAACACCACCCCACTGACTGAGACTAAAGCCCCAGGTTAACCTGGAGTGTTATTGTAACACCACCCCTCTGACTGAGACTAAAGCCCCATGTTAAACTGGAGTGTTATTGTAACACCACCACCCTGACTGAGACTAAAGCCCTATGTTAACCTGGAGTGTTATTGTAACACCACCCCTCTGACTGAGACTAAAGCCCAATGTTAACCTGGAGTGTTCTTGTAACACCACCCCACTGACTGAGACTTAAGCCCCATGTTAACTTCGAGTGTTATTGTTACACCACCACCCTGACTGAGACTAAAGCCCTATGTTAACCTGGAGTGTTATTGTAACACCACCCCTCTGACTGAGACTAAAGCCCCATGTTAACCTGGAGTGTTATTGTAACACCACCCCTCTGACTGAGACTAAAGCCCAATGTTAACCTGGAGTGTTCTTGTAACCCCACCCCACTGACTGAGACTTAAGCCCCATGTTAACTTCGAGTGTTATTGTTACACCACCCCACTGACTAAGACTAAAGCCCCATGTTAACTTCGAGTGTTATTCTAACACCACCCCAATGACTAAGATTAAAGCCCCATGTTAACCTGGAGTGTTATTGTTACACCACCCAAATGACTGAAACTAAAGCCCCATGTTAACTTCGAGTGTTATTCTAACACCACCCCACTGACTGAGACTAAAGCCCCAGGTTAACCTGGAGTGTTATTGTAACACCACCCAACTAACTAAGACTAAAGCCCCATGTTAACATTGAGTGTTATTGTAACACCACCCACTGACTGAGACTAAAGCCCCATGTTAACCTAGAGTGTTATTGTAACACCATCACCCTGACTGAGACTAAAGCCCCATGTTAACCTTGGAGTTTTGTTGTAACACCACCCCTCTGACTGAGACTAAAGCCCCGTGTTAACCTGGAGTGTTATTGTAACACCACCCCACTGACTGAAACTAAAGCCCCATGTTAACCTGGAGTGTTATTGTAACACCATCACCCTGACTGAGACTAAAGCCCCATGTTAACCTAGAGTGTTATTGTAACACCATCACCCTGACTGAGACTAAAGCCCCATGTTAACCTGGAGTGTTATTGTAACACCACCCCACTGACTGAGACTAAAGCCCTAAAGTGAGGTGGTGAAATTGGGTATCACGTCGCGTCCATGATTATTGCAATTATATAGCGACGTGCATGCACGTGTATGTGTGTGTGTGTGTGTGTGGCTGCTTGTACTAGTCCGGACTGATGCCGATTTATAGTGCTAGCTAACTGAGATACCATGTCGCAGTTTAACATGAATACCCCACTCAGACACAGTATACTGACTCCGAGCCGACTAGTACGTGTTTTAGCCCCTAATGCAGAGCACCAGACAGGGTAACAACAAGTACCATCTTTTAACGTCTTTTGTTATGAAACGGCTGGGAATCGAACCGCTCTCCGGGCGGACGCTCTCCCACTAGACCACGGAGGCGGTCCCCACTGACTAAGACTAAAGCCCCATGTTAACCTGGAGTGTTATTGTAACAACAGTACTATTAATCAAAGCTTGAGTGAGTTGACGCTATTCAGTATTAGAAGCAGAATGTTCCAGCTATCCGGTGGTCTGTGAATAACAAAGCTTGAGTTAGTTGATGCTATTCAGTATTAGAAGCAGAATGTTCCAGCTCTCCGGTGGTCTGTGAATAACAAAGCTTGAGTAAGTTGATGCTATTCAGTATTAGAAGCAGAATGTTCCAGCTATCCGGTGGTCTGTGAATAACAAAGCTTGAGTAAGTTGATGCTATTCAGTATTAGAAGCAGAATGTTCCAGCTGTCCGGCTGTCTGTGAATAACAAAGCTTGAGTAAGTTGATGCTATTCAGTATTAGAAGCAGAATGTTCCAGCTCTCCGGCGGTCTGTGAATAACAAAGCTTGAGTAAGTTGATGCTTTTCAGTATTAGAAGCAGAATGTTCCAGCTCTCCGGTGGTCTGTGAATAACAAAGCTTGAGTAAGTTGATGCTATTCAGTATTAGGAGCAGAATGTTCCAGCTCTCCGGTGGTCTGTGAATAACAAAGCTTGAGTAAGTTGATGCTATTCAGTATTAGAAGCAGAATGTTCCAGCTCTCCGGTGGTCTGTGAATAACAAAGCTTGAGTAAGTTGATGCTATTCAGTATTAGAAGCAGAATGTTCCAGCTCTCCGGTGGTCTGTGAATAACAAAGCTTGAGTAAGTTGATGCTATTCAGTATTAGAAGCAGAATGTTCCAGCTCTCCGGTGGTCTGTGAATAACAAAGCTTGAGTATGTTGATGCTATTCAGTATTAGAAGCAGAATGTTCCAGCTCTCCGGTGGTCTGTGAATAACAAAGCTTGAGTAAGTTGATGCTATTCAGTATTAGAAGCAGAATGTTCCAGCTCTCCGGTGGTCTGTGAATAACAAAGCTTGAGTAAGTTGATGCTATTCAGTATTAGAAGCAGAATGTTCCAGCTCTCCGGTGGTCTGTGAATAACAAAGCTTGAGTAAGTTGATGCTATTCAGTATTAGAAGCAGAAAGTTCCAGCTCTCCGGTGGTCTGTGAATAACAAAGCTTGAGTAAGTTGATGCTATTCAGTATTAGAAGCAGAAAGTTCCAGCTCTCCGGTGGTCTGTGAATAACAAAGCTTGAGTAAGTTGATGCTATTCAGTATTAGAAGCAGAAAGTTCCAGCTCTCCGGTGGTCTGTGAATAACAAAGCTTGAGTAAGTTGATGCTATTCAGTATTAGAAGCAGAATGTTCCAGCTCTCCGGTGGTCTGTGAATAACAAAGCTTGAGTAAGTTGATGCTATTCAGCATTAGAAGCAGAATGTTCCAGCTCTCCGGTGGTCTGTGAATAACAAAGCTTGAGTAAGTTGATGCTATTCAGTATTAGAAGCAGAATGTTCCAGCTCTCCGGTGTGAATAACAAAGCTTGAGTAAGTTGATGTTATTCAGTATTAGAAGCAGAATGTTCCAGCTCTCCGGTGGTCTGTGAATAACAAAGCTTGAGTAAGTTGATGCTATTCAGTATTAGAAGCAGAATGTTCCAGCTCTCCGGTGGTCTGTGAATAACAAAGCTTGAGTAAGTTGATGCTATTCAGTATTAGAAGCAGAATGTTCCAGCTCTCCGGTGGTCTGTGAATAACAAAGCTTGAGTAAGTTGATGCTATTCAGTATTAGAAGCAGGAAGTTCCAGCTCTCCGGTGGTCTGTGAATAACAAAGCTTGAGTAAGTTGATGCTATTCAGTATTAGAAGCAGAAAGTTCCAGCTCTCCGGTGGTCTGTGAATAACAAAGCTTGAGTAAGTTGATGCTATTCAGTATTAGAAGCAGAATGTTCCAGCTATCCGGTGGTCTGTGAATAACAAAGCTTGAGTAAGTTGATGCTATTCAGTATTAGAAGCAGAAAGTTCCAGCTCTCCGGTGGTCTGTGAATAACAAAGCTTGAGTAAGTTGATGCTATTCAGTATTAGAAGCAGAATGTTCCAGCTCTCCGGTGGTCTGTGAATAACAAAGCTTGAGTAAGTTGATGCTATTCAGTATTAGAAGCAGAAAGTTCCAGCTCTCCGGTGGTCTGTGAATAACAAACCTGGACCAGGTAAACCAGGAACTGGAAGCATGATCACAGCTCCAAACCAACAGGCCACGGTGACGTGTGTCTGAACCAACCGAAAATGCAGAAAGCTTAATTCTCTTACAGTCAAGAAATATAAGCTTTTCGCCCTGTGTATTTCATTTTTGGACAACAACTGACTTTTACGGAGTTAAATCAGACAAGCATGATGTATTTTCCAGGTGCTGAGGAAAGCTATTGCCGTTTTCAGATGACACCGGTGAAAGGTAATTAACATGGGTCTACTGTGACTTCATACTTAACATCGCATCTTTTGTTGATTAAATTGTGTTCATTAACGTTTTTAATTGTGTGCATTGTGTCAGTTTCTTTATCCCATGAGCCGCCTCCGTGGTCTTGTGGTAGAGCGTCCGCCCGGAGAGCGGAAGGTCCGGGGTTCGATCCCCGGCCGCGTCATACCAAAAGACGTTAAAAGATGGTACTTGTTGTTACCCTGTCTGGCGCTCGACATTAAGGGGCTAAAACAAGGACTGGTCGGCTCGGAGTCAGTATACTGTGTCTGAGTGGGGTATTCATGTTAAACTGCAGCATGGTATCTCAGTGAGCTAGCACTATAAATCGGCATCAGTCCGGACTAGTACAAACAGCCACACACACACACGTGCATGCACGTCGCTATATAAGTGCAATAATCTTGGGCGCGACGTTAAACACAATTTCACCTCACCTCTCAATCCCATATGGAGATGTGACCTAAATAGTCAACCGCCATGCAAAGTTAAAGGATTTCAACAAGTTTATGTCTCTTCAACCGGAGGGGTAACATGACCCAAGGTATTCAAGTTGCTTCACTTGACTTCACTTGCTGAGTTAGTCACTTAGGACTACCAGAAACCTGTGATCGTTGGTTCGAATCCGAGGTTCGCCCTGGTTCTGCTGTTCAGTTTGCCAACAGCACCACCGCCCTCGTAGGTTCCGTCTAAGATCTGAACTATTTCGGGTTTGCCTTTCAAATCGTCCTGCATGATATGACTTTATATAAGCGAAAAAAAACTTTCCACATCCATGAGTCCACAGTACGACTGGACTCTTTCATGTTTATGAACCACTATCAAACAGTGATGATACCAGGTGTTCCATGTGGTGTTATTCACTCACTCTCCCGACATAACACAACGTGCATATGTTCCAGATAACGATCCTGACAATACGTACGGCAACCTATATGTTCCAGATAACGATCCTGACAATACGTACGGCAACCTATATGTTCCAGATAACGATCCTGACAATACGTACGGCAACCTATATGTTCCAGATAACGATCCTGACCATACATACGGCAACCTATATGTTCCAGATAACGATCCTGACAATACGTACGGCAACCTATATGTTCCAGATAACGATCTTGACCATACATACGGCATCCTATATGTTCCAGATAACGATCCTAACCAAACAAACGGCAACCTATATGTTCCAGATAACGATCCTGACCAACAAACGGCAACCTATATGTTCCAGATAACGATCCTGACCATACAAACGGCATCCTATATGTTCCAGATAACGATCCTGACCATACAAACGGCATCCTATATGTTCCAGATAACGATCCTAACCAAACAAACGGCAACCTATATGTTCCAGATAACGATCCTGACCATACAAACGGCATCCTATATGTTCCAGATAACGATCCTGACCATACAAACGGCATCCTATATGTTCCAGATAACGATCCTGACAATACGTACGGCAACCTATATGTTCCAGATAACGATCCTGACCATACATACGGCAACCTATATGTTCCAGATAACGATCCTGACAATACGTACGGCAACCTATATGTTCCAGATAACGATCTTGACCATACATACGGCATCCTATATGTTCCAGATAACGATCCTAACCAAACAAACGGCAACCTATATGTTCCAGATAACGATCCTGACCAAACAAACGGCATCATATATGTTCCAGATAACGATCCTAACCAAACAAACGGCAACCTATATGTTCCAGATAACCATCCTGACAATACGTACGGCAACCTATATGTTCCAGATAACGATCCTGACAATACGTACGGCAACCTATATGTTCCAGATAACGATCCTGACAATACGTACGGCAACCTATATGTTCCAGATAACGATCCAGACAATACGTACGGCAACCTATATGTTCCAGATAACGCTCCTGACAATACGTACGGCAACCTATATGTTCCAGATAACGATCCTGACAATACGTACGGCAACCTATATGTTCCAGATATCGATCCTGACAATAAGTACGACAACCTATATGTTCCAGATAACGATCCTGACAATACGTACGGCAATCTATATGTTCTAGATAACCATCCTGACAATACGTACGGCAACCTGGGATTTGCAGAGGAAGAAAACGTACAAGAAACAAGTGGTAATATGTCGCGGTTTGAAGCATTAAGGAATAACCTCGTTATAATGTGGTGCACTATCAAGTGTATTTGGCCCTCTTCTATCAGTGAATGTAGCTCTTCCTACACAAGAATGGGTTACCATGTGTCTGGTAGATATACAAAGCAGCCATAATACACGCCAACTGTCTAAGAAGACGCGGACAAACATTGAATATGTACTCTGCAAAAATAAAAACGCAAAAGTAGAAAAATTGTAAATATCTCACAAGGTGTTGCCGATATCCATATAAAATACATACAAAATCTGAATTCTTATTTTCTGCAAGGATTGGTATTTATTTAATAACATGAGGTACTGCAGACATTTTGAGAATGAATGAAAAATCGCAAAAACACAACTACGGAAGAGCCATTACAATCTGACGAATACCCAAACTCCGCCGAATAGCAATTAAAATAAAGCAGCAACACTTGGCCGATTCAAAGGTAAACGTCAAGCAAAAACGTAGAAAAAAAGATGATATATTAGTGGAGAGCGAAAACATGCCACGACTGACGGAAGCCCAACGCAAAAACGCCTTCAGGCGATTCATCTTCGTAGCACCAAGCACCATTACAAGACTGTGGAACCGGTATCAGACACACGGGAAAACAAAGGACCTTCCAAGATCCGATCGACTACGTATCACTACAAGAGCACAGGACAGATTCATACAGCTACGTCACTTACGTGAAAGAACCACCCTGGCAACCTCTACAACGACGGCAATACCAGGATTGCGTTGGATATCAACCCAGACAGGGAGGAACCGTTTACGCGCTGAAGATATTTGCGGTAGACGACCAGTTAGGACTATTTTGACGGACCTGCTTCATCGGCTGCGACTTCAGCGGTGTCAAGATCGCAGAGTACAGCCGCAACTGCGATGGAAACAAGTTTGGTTTCATTCTTTCCTTTTGCGTTTCTATATTTTTGCAGAGTGTACCTCGAAATATCAAGGAACAATATGCATCTATCTTTCGGCTTTCAGAGACAAGCAGGGATTCTATTTAATATCATAGTTTTGACAAAGTTGTTTGAATTGACGAGGTATGATGAGAGAAAACATCTTCTTTTCTTGCTGCATCGTGTCGATGCGCGTCCCCGCCTAAATACTCTTGTATCGAATAAAATGTACAGGTGAGGTGAAATGGGGTTTAACGTCGCGTCCAAGATTATTGCACTTATATAGCGACGTGCATGTACGTGTGTGTGTGTGTGTGTTTGTGTGGCTGCTTGTACTAGTCCGGACTGATGCCGATTTATAGTGCTAGCTCACTGATGTACCATGCCGTAGTTTAACATGAATACCCCACTTAGACACAGTATACTGACTCCGAGCCGACCAGTCCTTGTTTTAGCCCCTTAATGCCGAGCTCCGGACAGGGTAACAACAAGTACCATCTTTTAACGTCTTTTGGTATGACGCGGTCGGGGATCGAACCCCGAACCTTCCACTGTCTCTTGGTCTTTTTGGAAAGGGATGACATAAACTCGTTTGTGACATCAGGAACAATGGATGATGTTATCCTCTATTATTTGCGGCAAAGCATTGAAATGGTGCCACGTTGCTATTGTCATTTTCGCAAGCAGTTAAAACAATTGTAAAATAAATACAAACAGGCATGAAGCACAATTGTATGATGGTTAGTGAAAAAGATTTACCCTACATCAGTGACCCTCTGGGTAATAGATGTACCTGTGTATATTGCACTCTCTCTCTGTGTTGCCAGGACCTGTCGAGGATGCTTACTACGGCAACATCCAGCTTGAACTCAGTGAAAACATTCGTCAACAGAGAGGTAAGTAGACACTGACTGAGAACGTACGTTAACAGAGAGGTAAGAAGACGCTGATCGAGAACATACGTTAATGGAGAGGTAAGTAGACGCTGATTGAGAACATACGTTAACAGAGGTAAGAAGACGCTCATTGAGAACATACGTTAACAGAGAGGTGAGTAGACGGCGATTGAGAACATACGTTAACAGAGAGGTAAGAAGACGCTCATTGAGAACATACATTAATGGAGAGGTAAGTAGACGCTGATTGAGAACATACGTTAACGGAGGTAAGTAGACTCTGATTGAGAACATACGTTAAGAAAGGGGTAAGTAGACGCTGATTGAGAACATACATCAACAGAGAGGTAAGTAGACTCTGGCTGAGAACATACGCTAACGGAGAGGTAAGTAGACGCTGATTGAGAACATACGTTCACAGAGAGGTAAGTAGACTCTGATCGAGAACATACGTTAACAGAGAGGTAAGTAGACGCTGACTGAGAACATACGTCAACAGAGAGGTAAGTAGACGCTGATTGAGAACATACGTTCACAGAGAGGTAAGTAGACTCTGATTGAGAACATACGTTAACAGAGAGGTAAGTAGACGCTGATTCAGAACATACGTTAACAGAGAGGTAAGTAGACGCTGATTGAGAACATACATCAACAGAGAGGTAAGTAGACGCTGATTGAGAACATACGTTAACAGAGAGGTAAGTAGATGCTGATTGAGAACATACGTTAACAGAGAGGTAAGTAGATTCTGATTGAGAACACACGTTAACAGAGAGGTAAGTAGACGCTGATTCAGAACATACGTTAACAGAGAGGTAAGTAGACGCTGATTCAGAACATACGTTAACAGAGAGGTAAGTAGACGCCGATTGAGAACATACATCAACAGAGAGGTGAGTAGACGCTGATTGAGAACATACGTCAACAGAGAGGTAAGTAGACGCCGATTGAGAACAAACATCAACAGAGAGGTATGTAGACGTTGATTGAGAACATACGTCAACAGAAAGGTAGGTAGACACTGACTTAGCATGCTAGAACTAAAATACATTGGGTCATTGTTCCCAATACTCGCTCTCTATATACCAATGACAATTTATTGTAGCATGAGGTGAAAGTGTGCTAGACTTTGGTTTGGTATTTTAGCTGACAGTAAGTCGAGTTTCGATGTAATATACAGGGCTAGTTACATTATAACCTTCGGATTTAGTTTTTGCCTTCCCCATTACTCAAACATATAGCTCGCTCTAACACATAGCCTGCCTTTTCTTTCATACTCCAGGAAAAGAAATGGAAATGAGAAAAGCTGAAGGACAGGAGTATGATGCTGGTAGGTTGAAAAAGTAGACCTGAGGTTTGCATTTAAATAGCATGATTACTGAAACAACACTACAATGTTCTAGATTTCACATATGATAATTTCAAAAAAAGAACATCAATAAACATGGGTTTTATTAAACTAATCTGTGACACTAAATTTTAACTCACTCACTCACTCACGAGTCTACTAACTTTCTGTTGTCAAAAAAAACTATTGTTGACCTGCTGCAGGCAACGTTGTTGCTGTCACAAGCGTAATGATGATAATAATGAGAAAGAGTACTAGATGTGGGGAACCGAACCCAGGCCTTTAGGCGCGACAAGCGAACTCTTTAACCATTAGGCTACCTCACTGCCCCTTTGGTCTTGTTGAGTTGCACTTCTACTAAAACTAATACAATTCACCATGCTGTCTTCCTCACAGAGCCCATCTATCAAAACACCAGCGGCAGCAACAAGTTGGCAAAATAACCATTGGAGGTTATGACCAGGGTACCTACCTGCGATAAATGTCGAAACTATACAGTAATTTCAGAATATTGTACATAGTTGTTATTAATAATGTTTTATGTGCACATTTTGTAAAACAGTTCTGAATTACATACACTGTGATGTTTGTAATGCCAATCCTCTTATATTCTTGTAATCATGAGCGATCAGCCTGTTATGATACTCCTACAATAGCTTGAAGCACACGCATAAAAATGACACACGCTTGTTTAATGTTTTCGAGAATGTAGTGTAGTTTTATACTTTTATTTCACTTTGAGTGTGAAGATCATTTGCTCATCTTTATTTGTGATGTTGTAACATCCTGATTGACGTATTTCCCGGTTTAAAAATACGCATCATATTAACAGAAGTAAAAGAGGGTCCAAATCCTCAATATTTCTGAAATTGCTATAGTTATTCTCATACATTTACATGCCAAATGTGTGTGAAGCCCATTTAAGGTGTCCCCCGCCGCGATATCGCTGGAATATTGCTAAAAGCAGCGTAAAACCATACTCACTCACATGTAAGTTCCTAATAGCTTTATGTAGCCTCAGTGTTCCTTGTTAATAATTAGAGGCCATTGCTGTAGTGTCTGTTGTGTTATGTTTTCATATCTTCCCACTGTATTACATATTATATATACTCACCGCCAAAAGAAACATGTTGGTCACTAAGATTGGTTTGATCCACAATGAACATACTGGTATGTTCATGATCCACAATAAACATACTGGTATGTTCATGTCCATGTTCATGTTGTGTGAACCGATGCTCATCGACATGTCAAGTCATAGATCCATTACGCGAGATGCATCATTTGTCTCGTGCAGAGTAGGCACGTAAAGTTTGGAAGTTCACGTGCAGCATACTGTTGTAAGAATAAAGACATTTGACTGATCCTTAGTCTTGTCTTTACTTGGTACACATTGGAAACATATCTTCTCAACTCATATGTGTAGAAGGGTGGGATGTGTGCGGGTCTTCAAACAGAACAACATTAACTAGTAACTTTTGATGGGAAAGTAACCTAGCTTTTGTTTAAAATGGGTTTGCTTCAGAAACATAATTTAGGATATTAATTTTCAAGACGTGAAGTGGATAGTGCCAAACCCCGTTGCAAGGCAAAATGTTCCGAATTAGAAGGGTTGGCTGTGTGCGGTTCTCCAAAATTCACAACAATAACTTTTAACTTTTGTTGCGAAAGGACCTTGAATTTTGTATAAAATGGGTTTGCTTCAAAGGTATTATTTAGGATAATAGTTTTCAAGATATGAAGTAGATATTGCCAAACCCCGTTGCAAGCCAAACTGCCGTATTTTCAGTCAAGATGCTCCGACTTAGAAGGGTAGGCTGTGTTCTCCAAAAAGCACAACAATAACTGGTAGTTTCTGCTGGGACAGGAACTTGGATTTTGCTTGAAATGATAATTTTTGAAAAGAATAACGGATAGTTTTGGTTCTCAAATATGACCTGGATAGTGTCAATCCCTGTTGCAAGGCAAAAAGGATTGTTTTCAGTGTTCCGAATAAGAAGGGTGGGCTACCAGTATGCGGTTCTACAATAAGCACTAAAATAACTTTTAACTTTATTTTAGAAAGTAATTAAGCCTTTCTTTAAAAATGGATTTGCTTCAATAATGTTATTTAGGATATTAGTTTCAAGATGGGAGTATAGTGCCAAACCCCGTTGTTAGTCAAAATGGGTTGTTTTCAGTCAAGATATTCCGAGTTAGGAAAGTTAATATATGCCAAAATTAGAAGGGTGGGCTGTGTGCGTCCCCCCAAAACACAACAATAACTGGTAGCTTCTGTTTCCCAAATGGAAATTTGCTGAAAAATGTTATATAAAGTTTTGGTTTTCAAGATATGAAGTTGATACTGCCAAACCATGACATTTTGTGAAGCCCAGCGTCAGAAATAGATTTCATAGTTATTTTAAAATAATAAAGACTTCAATTTCATTCTTTAAGAAAATAAACACTCAAATAATTTATATCAAAATCAATACTCGATTTTAATGCAGGAAACGATCAACGTTTGCCGGACAGTACACCCAGATGTTTTGCAACCACAGCAGTTGTTTCCCATTTCACTTGGGAGTTTATCCAGGATCCTGTTTCACAAAGCGATCTTAGTGCTACGTTGTTCGTAAGCCTATGATAAAGTATGGGAGTTAGGACCAACTTAGCTCTAATATCGCTTTGTGGAACAGGGTCCAGATCAATATGATTCATTGATTTTGACTTATAATTATTTGGGGTATTTTTTAACTTTTAGACTTCAATTATCTAAACATACATATACTATTTCAGGACAATTAAGAAACTCATTTTAAAAAAAATAAAAAAAATAAACACCCCCCAAAACATTACCAAGTTTAAACTTGAATGTAATGTATTAAGTTAAGTACCTAGATCTATGTAAACTCAAGAAAGTAATATCTATATTTACATTTATTCCTAGCTTTTTTTATTTCTTATAGGTAGCAAACAAAAGGATAAAGAGAAAAATGGTGGGCACATATTGATCTTATTAGTTTGGTGTGTTTTTTCAAAAACAACATTTATTCAATTATGTTTTACAGCCGTGCATCTTAAAATATATTTGGTATTTTGGATAGGATGAAATTATATCAAAACCAATTTCATATTATCATTTTTAGGTAGAAACTCAATATCACAGTTAAATATTTTCAGAATTAACGGACAATACAGAGTATTATAGAAATGTAGAATTATATTTGTCCCATGTATATTCTTAAAACCAAAGATTTAAAAAAAAATATTTACCATGTTTACTGAAAAAAACATTTCTTTAATGATTCAACTGTTATCTTATCATAGCAGATAAAGAATCCAAATATGAATAGCTAGCTTAATTTTTATGATTATTATTTACCATTTCTTTTGATGATAAACTTGACTGGATAGGATGAAATTATATCAAAACTAATTTCACATTATCATTTTTAGGTAGAAATTCAATATCACAGTTAAATATTTTCAGAATTAACAGACTATACAGAGTATTAAAGAAATGTAGAATTATATTTGTCCCATGTATATTCTTTAAACCAAAGATTTAAAAAAAAAATATTTACCACGTTTACTGAAAAAAAAATGTCTTTAATGATTAAACTGTTATCTTATCATAGCAGATAAAGAATCAAAATATGCATAGCTAGCTTAATTTTTATGATAATTATTCAGCATTTCTTTTGATGATAAACTGGACATATGACAAAATAAGAAATGTATTTTTATGTATTATTCTCCCATTACAGGGTTTACAGTGATTTTTTTTTTCACACAATCTTATTGGCTTCTGAGAGTGGAAAGTAATGTCGCTATTTTAAGTAGAGACCTTAAGTCATTCTAATTAGTAATGTGCGAATTTCCAGAATTATGGGTCAGAATTTTCATTTATGGGTGATGAAGAAACGATCAACAAGGGGGTCGTCTTACAACATTTACCATTAACCTCATTTTTGATCTTATCATAGCAGATAAAGAATGGAAAGTAATGTCGCTATTTTAAGACCTTAAGTCATTCTCATTAGTAATGTGCGAATTTTCAGAGCTTGGTAAGTAAAAAAACCCTCAAATTTATGGGTGATGAAGAAAAGATCAAAAGGGGGTCGTCTTACAACATTTACCATTCACCTCATTTCTTAACGTGAGCAATTTCAAATTTTGATTTTTATACCTTTTACAAAATATTCATATATCAACAGGTCAGTAAGATAAATATTTATTATGAGTCCTGCTTTCATGATGATAAAAAAGAAAATGTTATTTCTTAATTACCTATTATCAATAATTTTTAATTTCTAATCTGGTAAAATAAAAAAAGTTTGGATGTAACTATGGCAGTAAAATGACAACGTAAAAATACAAGGTATAAATATGTTGTAAATATTTGTATAACTACTGAAATGATTATTGTGATGATTGTGCTTATTGTTTACATATATCCTATCTATTAATGTTTCACACACAATAAAGTAGAGTGCTTGTCAAATTCACATTGTTTCTTGTCATTCACAAATGTGGGAAAATTAGATTATTCATTTAGTAGCATTTTTGGTGTTATGGTGTTATATATTATGATCAAAAGAACATTTTTTTATAATTAATACACATGTGCTCACCATCTTCAGGAAGAAAACAAAAACAAAACAAAAAAGGATTGCATGAAATAATCATAATTTTACATATTAAATTATTCACTGTAAAATTAGTTTTAAAGAGAAAAAATTCGTTTAAAAATATTACAATTCATTGATAGAGAGGACAAGATTTACCTAGCAGTAATCAGCTGATCAGTTGCCTGAATTGGTATTTATTGAATCTTGCCTGATCAGTCCTGCTGACAGTTCCTTGGGCCCTTGTTTTTCGTGAACAGTCTGTTACAAAAAAGGCAATATTTAATTTCCTCACATTTGGGTTTATTACATCAGTTTCTATCGGACAAATAAAAGAATAACGTATTTACGTACACCCCCAACGGTGACCTATTTAGTGTTGCGCATTGAGAATGACAGTCACGGCGAGACGAATGCAAATAAAGTTATGGGCCGAGTAATCCAAAGCCATTAACAAATATCAATTCACATTAATATTTCTCAAAACGTTACTCTCATCAACTTTTAATAGTTGACAAAGAACATAATATTAATGCTAACAATGCTGATGTTGAAGACACAACATCACAGACGTTGATGATACACCACCACAGACGTAGATGATACTCCACTAACGTTGATGATACACCACTGACGTTGAAGACACAACATCAATGACGTTGATGATACACCACTGACGTTGATGATGCACCACTGACGTTGTTGATACACCACCACAGACGTTGATGATACACCACCACAGACGTTGAAGACACAACAGCAATGACGTTGATGATACACCACCACTGACGTTGAAGACACAACATCACGGACGTTGATGATACACCACTGACGTTGATGATACACCACCACTGACGTTGATGATACACAAACCACTGACGTTGATGATACACCACTGACGTTGATGATACACCACCGCTGACGTTGATGATACACCACTGACGTTGAAGACACAACATCACTGACGTTGATGATACACCCCTGACGTTGATGATACACCACCGCTGACGTTGAAGACACAACATCACGGACGTTGATGATACTCCGCTGACGTTGATGATACACCACCACTGACGTTGATGATACACCACAAACGTTGAAGACACAACATCACAGACGTTGATGATTACACCACCACAGACGTTGATGATACACCACTAACGTTGATGATACACCACCACTGACGTTGAAGACACAACATCACGGACGTTGATGATACACCACTGACGTTGATGATACACCACTGACGTTGAAAACACAACATCACGGACTTTGATTATACACCACTGACGTTGATGATACACCACCACTGACGTTGATGATACACCACCACTGACGTTGATGATACACCACTGACGTTGAAGACACAACATCATTGACGTTGATGATACACCACCACAAACGTTGAAGACACAACATCACGGACGTTGATCGGACAAATAAAAGAATAACGTATTTACGTACACCCCCAACGGTGACCTATTTAGTGTTGCGCATTGAGAATGACAGTTACGGCGAGACGAATGCAAATAAAGTTATGGGCCGAGTAATCCAAAGCCATTAACAAATATCAATTCACATTAATATTTCTCAAAACGTTACTCTCATCAACTTTTAATAGTTGACAAAGAACATAATATTAATGCTAACAATGCTGATGTTGAAGACACAACATCACAGACGTTGATGATACACCACCACAGACGTAGATGATACTCCACTAACGTTGATGATACACCACTGACGTTGAAGACA